GAGGGAGGAACACACCAGCCAAGACATGTCAGAACCTCTCAGATGCTTGAAAATTAAACCTCGGCCCGTCACCTGCACCATCGGTCCCTCGTGATGCCGCCTGGGCAGAGGTGGGGCTGGTGCCCGCGTCCCGCTGCTGTCCTGAGACCCGGGATCAGGCCAAAGCATCCTTCGTTCCTGCATCCTCTTCTTTTCTCCCTTGGATGACTTTTAAAAGCCTTTGCTTTCCTTGGCTCATACAATATCAATCTCAGAAGGAAAACAAGCCAGCACACAGTCATCTTCCCAATGAGAAATGCTGAAAACCCTCTACCGGCAGAGACGACCCGGACAGGTTCATGCGGCATTTCTGGCAGATCCCACCATCTGTGGTTCCCCTTCCCCGTGTCCCTCAGAGCTGTCTCAGCGGAGGGAGGTTATTCGAGCAATTCCCTTGTCACGACGGCTTCTGAATTAACCTTGACGTTCCCCGGGGGGTTATTAGGACATCCCATAGCCTCTCGGCTCAGACCAGCAGCTCTTGGCACTGCAAGGCTGGCCTTCATCCGTACAGCACAGCCGCACGCAAGACGACAAAACTCAAATATTATCTCAGCAGCAAAGCAGAGCAGGTGCCCTGTTGAACTCCATCTCCTCTCCCCCAAAAGCTCCTCTGATCCTACCGTGCACCAGAGCAACCAGAGCAAGAACCACGAGCTGCGAAATGTGAATTTTCTGCCTGCACCAGCACCCACGTGAGCAGCTCAGGAAAGAATTTATGACCTACCCGGCTAACACCAGCCCCTTCTCAGCCTTGCAGGGGCCAGGACTGCTGCAGGAGCTGCATATTGAGGAATCTTTCCGTCTGTACAACCCAGCAGCCGCATCTCTGCGATGCTGCCGACACATTTGTACCATCAGCCCTGTGCCTACTCCTCGTCCATCCTCCGCGCAGACACACGGCACATCCGCTGCCACCCGCTGCCCTGGTCCCGCTCCCTCCAAAGCACCGCGTGCTCTGAATTCCTCCCGTTCGTCAGAAACACATCCAGCAGGGATCTCCCAGAAAAGGGAGAGACCGTTTCTTGATAATCCTGCCCTTGAAAGAAGAGACCGCAGCTCCAGGGAATATGTCAGTCACCAGAACTGAACAAATGCCTGGTTCACGGGGGTACCTCCTGCTCGCTGAACTCCCAGGGAGATGCTAAGAGAAGAATATAAATAGAGGGGCACAGGGGAGGGAGAAGAGCTTGTGCGATACGTTCCCTGCAGCAACCTGAGCCCAGCGCTAACACGAGGGGGGGAGATGCCACAGTACCTTCAATGGGCAGCAGGATGACGCGCGAGTGGTCGTAGGCAATCACGTTGGCGTAACGGTTTTTGGGCTTGTTCACTTCCAGGTTGGAGTGCTCCCAGGTGAACTGCTGGCCAGGGTCGATGGACTGGAGGAATCGGGAAAGAAAACAGAAGAGTCAGAGAGGAGACAGCAGCAAATCAAGCTCTGAACACCTTGTCTGCGTGGGACAGATCATGGCTCTGAGGGTCTGGCTGAGGATGAAGATCACAGCATTCACCCCTGGCTTCCCTCAAGAACCGGTTTTTCCTGTATGAACACTCCAGCCTGGTGGCACAGCGTGCTCTCGTCCCATCTCCCTTGGCCCCGAGCACACCCTGAGATAATCTGAGATCATCCCCCCCCCCCCCCCCCCCGGCACGATGCTGTGCAACCCAGCGGCAAAAGCATCAGTGCAACTTCAGGCTGCAACACAGAGACTTGGATCCTACTTCTGCTGGGGCTGCTCTGGATTAATTACAGCCCGGCGTCACCGACGGTGACAAACGGCCGGCAACCAGAGAGAACAAGGGGAACAACTGCATCGGGATGTATTTATGAAATGATGAAGAGGCTCCGTCTGTGCACGGTTACACTAAACAACGATTAAGAGGGCATAAATATACCCGTGCCTTGGTGAGCACTAATACCTGGAGAAGAAGATACTCCAGCTAGGACGAGGTTTCTAACCAGGCGTGCCAGGACGGTGTGAAACATCAGGGAACGCCCTTGCTCTCGTGGGCAGCGGGAAAGGACCGGGCTGCACCGTACAGAGGCAATCACTTGGGACCACAAAATATCAGTGCCAGGGGTCTTCCAGGTGTGAAGTGGGGAGAAAGCACCCCAGGAGCCTGGCAGGGCGGGCACCTGCCTGCTCAGAGGGTAGGAGGGTGCGTCTCCCCAGATAGAGGAGGGGTACGGACCTTGGCCCTAAGAAACTGCATCAACGTGGTTTTTTCCTAGAAGGGATGAAGCAGTAAACAATGAAATTCACTGGAGAGAAAAATCCTCTCTGCCTGTCCTGGTGATTTATGCCAGGTTTGGTGGTGATTGTTTTTTTCGGGCACCTGCCTGCTCAGAGGGTAGGAGGGTGCGTCTCCCCAGATAGAGGAGGGGTACGGACCTTGGCCCTAAGAAACTGCATCAACGTGGTTTTTTCCTAGAAGGGATGAAGCAGTAAACAATGAAATTCACTGGAGAGAAAAATCCTCTCTGCCTGTCCTGGTGATTTATGCCAGGTTTGGTGGTGATTGTTTTTTTTTTTTTTCTCTCTAAAGTCCAGCTGTCCCAGATATGGAAATTAGGTTAATTACGTTTACCTCTAAATCCTCAGCCAGAGAATTAAATAAAACAAGGGCTTAATTCCTTCATCATTTTGCAGAGCCCTAGGGGTTTGCCTCAATTGGAGCCTTGGCAGGAGCGTGCCGAGTTGCCTTTCCCTCTGCTCGCTCTCCCTTGCTCCCAGCCGGTGGGGACAGCATCCCGGCCGGTGGGGACAGCATCCTGCACACCCCTGCCTGGATTCATCCCTTTGAGCCCCCTGCCTGTGCCGACCCCCCAGCCCCCCGGCACAGCTCAGCTCCAGCAGTCGTGGCAGCGATGGTACAAACCCACCCGACACAAACGTCCTCTCGCCGCGGAGCGTTTCTAACTAATGGGTATTTATCCTGTTGTAATGTGTCTGTTTGCTCTCTATCCCTCTCATCTCGCCTGGCGTTCATTTCATTAGCGATGTTTGTTTAGCTCTGGCTCTCCCACTAGAGGAGGTTGCGCTGGAACGAAGCCAGGGCACTTGGGATATTGCATGATGCAAATCAGCCTTGGAAATCCGGACAGAGCATATTAACAGGCTGCTGCTCCCCCCGCACCCCAACGCAGGGTGAAGGACCCCAGCAGGGCAAATGCACCTTCTCCGATGGGCAAACCCCGCTCCGTGGGTACGGAGCTGCCAGCACAGAACTGCTCCACACACGCCGATGTTTGCAGGGAGAAAGCATCCCAGGATCCGTCCTTTGTTTGGAAAAATATCCCCTCGCTCTCTGCCTGCAAACAGAACTAGGCAGCCTAGGCTAAAAATATCGGGGCATTTTATGTCTTCGAACAACAACAACAATTCAGTCCTATGTTCAATCTGCAATGAAAGTGACCCGACAGCCCCAGCAGCACTGGGTGCTCGCACTGGGTTTAACTGGTGCTGCTGCAGGCGCAGCACCACGGGCGGGCAGGAGTGGGTTTGTGCAAGCACACAGCTCTTCCCCGCCTGCCCACAAGGACGCCAGGCTACGCAGCGGCAGTACGATGCTCTTCGCCTTTCCCCCTCAGCCTGCCTCGGGACCGGCCCGACCCGTCAGCCCTGGCAAGGTGGGAATTTTACAGCCCTGGACGGTGATTTGAAATGTAAATCCAGCAGCTGCAGCTCTGCCTGGCTGGTCGCCTGCAGGAGCCCTTTTGAGTAACCAAACATTATCAGGAAGGAGGAAAAAAAAGCATAAAACCCTCAGACAAGCAAGGAAGGTACGAATCATCCCGTTTTCTCAGCATTTAGGTCCGAAATGCATCTCCCTTCGCGAAGGGAGCTCAGCCCCTGCCCAGCGTGCCCCCTCTTTGGGCAGGAGTGGCTCACGGACCAAGCCTCTTGCTTTTTTATGATCTGGGACTGAACCCAGCAAAACACCGAGCAAGTACTTCATTTTCAATACATCAATAGCTTTTTGATTTCAACTAACCAGATCCTTAAAATGAAGCTGTGTTTATCTGGATGAGGGGCTGTCTGAATTCCCTAATTCCCTGGCTCTGCAAACCCATGCACAGCACTCACTCTTGCTCATACCTCATACTCTTGGGACAATTTCAGGTTATCATTAGCTTTGAGATGCTCTGTGTGTTCAGCCAGCTCGGAAACGGGGATTGGTGGGTGGCTGAGCATACCTAAAAGACAAGACAGCAGGAAAAGAATCTCATTGAATAATAACTAAAATTCACAACGGTTGCACATTTTATAAGAAAGAAGAAACAAGGAAAGAAAAAAATTACAATGTAAGATCTGCAATGAAAGTAGGGAGGTTAGAAGAGAAGAATTCAGGGCTCGAAATTGTGTCCTTGGAAGTAAAAAAAATAAAAATCAAGGAAATTAAAAAAAAAAAAAACCAGTAAAATGAGAGTGTTCCCGTGATGGCCCCACTTTCAATGTGTAAATCAGAGCAAAACAAAAAGGAAAATCCAAAGAGCAGATGCGTGTTAGCGATTCCAATAGTGGACTTAAAATGAGCAAACGCTGCCAGAGGAACCTACGCAGCAAATGTTACAGCACCCGCAATGATCATAAACAAACTCCAACACAAAAGAAGGGAAGGGGCAGGGATCCAGCCAGCCGTGGTGATGTGGGGCAGGGGACGGGAATGCAGATGGGGGGAAGCAGGGGAGGCTTTCCAGGAATTGTCCTTTGCCCAGCATCGGCTCTGGAAGTGTCTTGGTGAGCTCATGGAGGCAGTGGGCTGACCTTCACCGCTCCAAGAGTGCAACCAGGTATGGAAATGCCAGGCACTGGCTCTTCCTCCTGCTCACGGCTGGCGGATGATGTTCCTTCTGCATCATCCGTGGATGGATGCTGTTCCTCTCCCACCTGCGGGCAGGCTGTACCAGCCCCGTCGCAGTCTCTGCTGGGATGGTGCTACCTTTGGTGATGGAGAGGCAAAAGATCCTCTTCCCCTTTTCTCAGTCTGGGGGCTGGGAAATAATTTTCTGGGGAGATGGATGCCTCACGACCCTGGTTTACCTGCTGCCCTGGCAATTCTCACCAACACTCAGCTGTGCTCGTCCCAAGGCAGACAGAACTGCCGGGGAACAGGCTCGATCTTCTCCGAGATGTCCTGGGAGTGGGAGGGCCACACTGAAGGGACATCTCAGCCAGGAACGGGGCAGACTCGGGGTTCAGTCTGCAGCGGGATTTGCACATCCTGCTCCGAGACGGGCAGCTGGAGGTCTGGAAAGGGCAGGGATCTTCCTGTCCCATCATCAAAAATAGCTAAGCTACAAACCAAGGTGGAAAAGCGCTCCGTGCTTTGCTCATCTGCATTGGATGATGTTTTTCCAAAGGCTTCCCATGCTGGCTGCCGCCTGGTCCCGCTACGAACGGCGGCAGACAGGCGAGGACAGCAGCATGCCGAGAAGCCCTGGGCAGTGTCCCCAATGAGAAGGACAGGAGTGGAGAAGAGATGGAAGCCAGGGAAAATTTCGAGCCCCGTGGGTGTTGGGTGTGTGACAAAGCAGCGGCGGTGGCAGCAGCATGGTCAGATACTCTGAAAACTCAGCACAGAGATGGCAAAGCAAGCATGACATCCTCAGTTTTACAGTGACTTGTAGAGAGATGCTGCCTCTCCCAGGCCTGGGGACAGGACCCGTGTGCCACAGAGCGGGGATCTGAGCCACCGCTCCAACAGGTTCCTCCTAAGCTAACTAGACATCTGTTTCCAGCACAGGGAAGTCTGGCTGCAAATGTAAGGATGGGGGGGAGTAAACAGCCCACAAAAATAACCCCAAAGTGTTCTGGAGGCTGCGCTGCCTCCGTTCTCCTCTGCTGAGGACCAGGGCAGTGTCTCTCCCAGCTCACGGAGGAGAAGCTCGTGGTTAATCTTTTGCTGTCCTGTAGCCCACGGCACCTGGAGAAGGATTCCTCCTTTGCTTCCCACCCTGCACCGGGAGGTGGCTGCCATCCACCCCAGTCCCACAGCAGCAGATGCAGACTGGGGGCACTGGGAGGAACTGGTCCCATCTCTGGCCGTGTGGGACGGGACAGCCACCCTGTCTGAGATGTCCAAGATCAGAAATAAAACCAAGTAAATATTATAAAGACTCTTCTCAGCGTCTGTCCTTCTGCCTCGGGAAGCGGGGGCTGAATTCGGCAGCACACGTACCTTCAGCTGGAGCATTAGAGCAAAGCCAAACCCGACCCAGAACAACTTCTGGCAACTTGATAAACCACCTCCAGATCTCTGGGGCTCACCCCTGGCTGATCTCCTCCCCTTGGGCCGGGAGGCAGCTCTGCTGCTACCACCCAACTCTGCTGCAACAAGCTGGAGATTATTCACTGAAGCACGCTTAGTACACAGGGCTGCCAGTGAAATCCCAAATGATGAACGTACAGGTTAGAAGGGAAAAAAACCCACAAACAGAAAACCTAGTAATAATGAGCAAGCGACAAAAAATCCCCAGATTCCCTTTGGCTCAGAAGACACGGAGCAACGTGTGCATTCCCTCTGAGCACGTGGGGAAGGCTCGCTGGGGAACGAGAATTCACATTCTCCTTGAAGGCATTTTACAAGTTTTCTCCATAAAAGCTCCAGGAAAAGCCCTCAGTGTGCCCAGCCCCTGAAGCCAGCTCCGTCTCTTTGCTGGGGAACATCCTGCCCCCGTCTCCACCCCCCTGGCCGAGAGCACATGGGAACCTGCCTTGTTGTGCTGCTGTTAACGACAGCAATCTCCTTGTCCGATCGATTTCTGGGGCTCTCTAGAATAAAAAAAGACTGGAAACCTCTGCAGCGATAAACACTTTCCTGGTCAAAATGCCAAGTGCATCGGGGTTCCCATGAAGATCCGGGAGGAGCTTGGGATGAAAGGACCAGGAGCGGTCGTGCCCAGCGGCCCCAGCTGCTGCGGCAGCAGCTTCTCTTTTGTCTGCTTTGAGTCAATAAGTTGTTTTTAGACAAGAAGGGAAATGGCTCGAGCAGGTTCCTCTGCTCAGCAGCCTCCTGGCTACCTGGGGGGCTGCAAACCCAGAGACCTCCCGCTGCAGCGAGGGTGGTGGGGGGGCTGAGGGGCAGCCAGGGACCAGCACGGCTTGAAAAAAACCACACAACCCCCTCTGAGGGGGTCGAGGGGAGGTGGGAGGTGGGCTAGGACAGTATTGGCAGGAGCCTTCAGTACCAAAGGGACCAATATTTGGATTAAACTAGTGAGAAAAAAGTCCCAGCCTCCAAGCACAAGCAGCATCTGCGATTCTTCACGTTTGTCAGCTGAAACCTCACATCTCCTTCCCAG